AGAGGAAAAACAAAACACAATTGAGTGGAATAAGTTAAAAAGGTAATTTGAAGTAATAAAATGTGTTGGTGAGAACAAGGTAACATTTAACTCGATGCTAGTCAAAAAAGAAATTGAGGATTTACGGATTCAAACTCAATATAGGCAGTAACCCCCAAACAATGCTGGAATGAGAAAGACAAATTCAGTTTTCGGGTTTACAATTTAAATGAACAAAAGGGGTTGGAAAATACCGACATATAAACCAAGGGAGAGTTGTGTGAATCCCCTGTTTGTAAATGCGGATGATTGGAGACATTTTCTTGGAAAATATTTTGGTCATATGGTAACAAATATAAGAATTATTTAATGCACCGAACTGTTTTTTACTGGGTGCTTGGACATTTGAAGACATTCAGCATTCCTAACGGCGAAAAGGATCAAATAAATTTGTAAGCATTATTCTGGTTATTTTCTCGTATATTCAGATTCGGTAAACTCAAGTATGTGACTGATTACTGCAATCTCACCATATGAAAATACAAGCTAATTTAATGAAATTATTTTATCATTTATTCCCTTAAACCCAGACCAACATCTAATTCACTAAGTTTGTTACGGTGTGATTACCTGCTACTTTAAAAACTCGATCTCATCGTTTTGCAAAAATATTTTCTGACAAATACGCAAGTTTGAACAACTTTCCCGATAGCACCGAAGTGCGCTGACGTTGGGCATAAGGCCGATTGCTTAGCAAGACACAAAATAGTAAGAGGCAGAGTATTTCTCGATTCCTCCTACTCTTGGATAATAATAATTTACAATAGCTAACTAAAGGAAAGTTAAACAATTCACATGGTTTGAAATATTAGATTATATGATTGAAAACCGGAGCGAACGTATTCACTCCAGATCTTTCTGTAAATAATAACACTTCAGATCTGTCAAATAATTTATTTTCAGCATTCTTAGGTTAAATTTTTGCTATTATTTTTACTCTTTTTCTTGCTGTGTTTACATGAATTAACAACTGAAGCTATTGGGAATTAGTGTCAGTTCTAACATTTTGACAGATTGATACATTTTTGTGCTATATAGCTAGGTATTGGACTCGATCACGACAAAACTAATCCAGTTAAATGTTGACAATTCAAGAACACTTTAGATTAAGTTGTCAATAAATGTGAATGGTATGTGCACATTCAGTAGAGCTCGAGTTACCTTCGCTAAAGTTAAGTTTTTCTTCATCTAATGAATTGGTAGTATTTTCAGGTGGTACAGACAAAGCATCACCTTCGATCTTCAGAAAGTAAACTTCCAAACGAAAGTAAACCCAAGTTTGTTCAAATGAATGGCTGAGACCACATCAAGCGTAGTTTGATGATATTTTGGAATCCAAATCCAGCATGAAGTCTTACATGATACATAGCTAAAATACTTTTTCTACAAATAAGAACATTTGCTTTGATTGCAACCACAGATCATCTCATCATCATGAAAAAAAACTTATCGCCACAAACACTCACTGAGCAGATCCTCATAGTAATATATCTAAACACAAGCTTGGGGTATGTGTAAAACATAAGTGTGGTATTTTTGTGATATCACTGTAGATCTCGAAGAACTATGCATAATTGACGCGCCCATGAAGGTTTTTACTCTGAGAAAAACCGGATTTTACTATATCAGACCATTGGTAATGTTATTAAACTAAAACAATAACGAAAGAAACATAAGACTGATATCGAATAATTATGAATATGACAGTATTTCCTGAGCAGACCCACGAATACATTGCAGAACACAGTTGAAATGGTGGCTGATATAGTTAAAGAAATTTCGCTACGCAGTTATGGATAGAGAAGAAAACCTATAGCAATCCCTTATAGAAAGTAATTTTGTAGTCGTTGGGTAAGAGTGTTGGGTTGATACCAAGTTATCAACTAGAACAGGGGACTGAGTTGATTGTCATAATTTCTTAACTAGTAGTGTTTACAAGGAAATTTTAGCTACGTTCAGTTTTGTGTGCACTCAACTAAACTTAACAGAAGCACAAGTCGAGTCACTTTTTCATGAGGTTATTTTGCATTATCCATCAAGAACGGTTTTGTAAAATTACTAATAATAATCTACTAAGGTTAATTAGAACGTGTTCTTTAAAATGGACAGTGATATGTATCAAGAATGCTTAAACTAACAACTTTATCATCGTTTTTCCCCCGGAAATTGTGATATTAATCTTATTAGGACACAAACCGTACGTTAATTAAATACGGGAATAAAATTTATCGTGTAAGTCTAAGAATTTGTCCGTCTCACTCTACAAATTGTGGATTTCACGAAATTAGAGATGTAATACCATGAATACACTCCAACCACCATTGTAAAGAAGAGATCGCTTCTAAAACATAGATACCAAGCTATCTTAGTCGCAGTTATAAATCTAAATAGATGAATGCTCAAGCACGTGACATCCAGCTAAAGCTTAACGTATAGTGATACTTACTATCACTTATTTTTAATTGTTACTGTTACGAGCCTTGAACGAGAAATGAAGTGCAAGAAAATGCTAATATAATTTATTTGAGACTGGATGTTAAGTTGGGTAGTATAGACTTCTGGGTAGCCAAATGAATGAAAAATCGAATTTCATCATATTGCTCTGTACATTTCAATTAGCAACATTTCGACAGTAATTATCTGGCCTTTTGTGTTAGCTTACGCTACGGACAGATTATGACGAATTTAGTAAACTAGTGCGACGAAATCGTAGATTTAAAGAATGATTTCGCAGGTGCACAGACAAAGACTAGGAAAAAAGCTATTAAGAAACATTACTTTGGACCTTTTTTGTCCAGCAGATAGGAACTGAGTTAAATCTTAAAATACTTCCTTCCAAATGAACTTTGTATCAATCACGAAAAAGAACTTAACCACCTACAAAAGAGCTTTGACGAGGGTTTATGTAAATATCTGGGTTAGAGGTAAAATCTTATTGGAATTTACAAGCTGTGTGCTTATTCGCTGGTTGACAACCAAGGCCATTTGTGAAGGTGAAAAGTATGAATGAGACAGACTTGACAGATCTTAAGTCCGTAAGTAAATGTTGGTCATCAAACTAATTGCTACCTTACTTTGAGAGTACACTCACAGTTACATATTTGTATACCTGTCTTCGAGACACTAGTGATACAACCTACTTGAGCAAACCAAAATAGATGGGAAATTAACAAGCTGGACAAAGGAGCAGCATTTTGAATATTTATCACTAAGTAAATATTAATACATCAGATTTTGAAATTATGGTGGACAAACGTAAAATGCTGGTAGACTTCTAAATAATTTCTCAATGTCAGACTAACAAAAAACGCGAGTCAGAGTGGAAATCCTAGTTTTCTTGAACTCTTTTGGTTTGTTTTCTAGATTTTTATATATGGCGCTTGAGTAAGAGGTAATTACTAGCAGTAGAAAACCTGCATTAACTATGCTAATGAACACTACAAGTGGATTGAATTGATGAACAGGACTTGAGCGTTTGGCATTCAAGAACAATGGTATTTTAATCGTTGAGTAAATCTCTTAGTTTTGGATGTTCTAACAAATCAGTGTCAATCGTTTTTGTTTCAATTGAGTCGTACTTAGCACTAAAAGGGGTAAGAGGTCTTCGTATATGTACACCTTCTGAGTACGAAGATTTGGCTCCGCCTTGGCAAGTTCTTTATATTTTAGTATTCAGTAACTGTTGCTAGGATGTATATCTCGAATGATAACAGGAAAAATGTGACGACAAGTTCTGTTGACACACAAATTGATGTTTACATCACTGAACTAATCTCAATTAGGTCCACAGTAATCAAGTATGTCATCAGAGTAACAGGAGGAAAATCAGCTGTTTAGACAAAAATTAAACGTAAAAGTAGGAAGTCAATGATAGTAGTTGAGATATAAACACTCCCAAAAGCACATCTTGAAATATTACTGTAGGAAAAAGTTGATTGTCTAGAAACTAGATGTCTTAAATAAGACACAGGACATTCACTATTGGAATGGGTGATCTTAGCAAAGCGATATAGCATGTCCCAGTAACTGGGAGCAATAGTCCAATAAAGTCAAGTCAGAAGAACGTAAACACTAACTATATAGATGTTTAGTCTTCTACTAGTCTGATTACATGAGATTAAAAAAAGTAGCAGCATTTATAGTCGACAAAACATCATGCTCGTGAATCTGCTATCCAGTATGTACCGGAAGTAGTGTTAAATGAATCAAGTTTGGCAAGCCAGTTGGTAAAACTCCATCGAGATTTCAGGAACTGTTGAGTAGTACAAAGAACAGGTTTACTACTAAATAGTGTACACAACGTTCATGACTAGAACCCGTATATCCACCTAAACCTGCTGCTTGATGTCTTTACAAAAAAGGGGCTTTCATTCAGTCAGATTTCAATTTGGTGGGGAAAAATCTTGAAAAACCAAGGCTTTCAAGTAGTTATGCCTTGGAAGTCTATACTTCCAAGTTATTTTTCAATGACAGGCATGAAACCTAACGCGAGTGATTCCACGGGTCACGACGTCTGTGGACTCTACATTTAGAATCACGGTATATATTTCTGTACTGGTAGGGCCATTATTCGTACTATATTGTACTTTAGACTTAATACATATGATGTTCAACGGACCCGTTTCTTCCCGTCCAAATATTTTGGTTACCCAAGTTCGATTCAGTGGTCTAAAATCTGGTAAATCACCGAGTCGTGGTTGAATATACACCCACATTGCCATATTCCTCTCGACCACTGGCAGAACTAACCAATATCTTGCTCTTCTAAACTTAATTTCCGAGTGATTGTGAGTATTGAAGCTAGATGGACTAATAAGCATGGAACTAACGACTAACTACAAAACTGCCAGTGGTTGGTACTACAAAAAAATACTCATGAATAATTTGCTTATATACGTAGAATCATTAAGTTTTAACACCAGATTAACAAGGAATTCGTAAGTTAGACCCACTTGACTAACCTGATCACTGAGAGGGCTGAACAGCTCACTGTGCCTGTGGACCCAGTATTCCTAGATCTTGCCAAACCATCCGACGTGTACAGAAGCTTACCAACTTCAGAATAACATGTACAGCAAAAGATGGGATAAGAAACTTTCTTTTCAGAAAAGATTGAGAGTAAATGGAACAGTATCTGAATGGAAAAACGTGCTTCAAGGTAATACTTAAGGTACCCAATTATTTCCACTGTCAATAAACTACGAAAACTGATTAAGCCATCGCGCCTTCGTTGCATATATTTACAGACTAATGATGATAATTACCCTGATCGTCAAGCAGATTTAGATAAATTACCTGAGTTTATCATAAACTCGGGGCCTAGAGATTTGATGTAACTTTCACAATCGCAAAAGCAAAAAACCTATGAGCAATTGTATATCATGATTACGAAACAGTTGCACACTACGATAAAGTAGCTAGTAGTTTTTGCGTGCTACGATTAGCCCAGTACTTCCAAATATTTCGTTCCATTTATGTGAGAACACTTAGACCACTGCACTGAAGCAGCTAGTCCATATCATATTACGGATCTTGACATTTAAGTGTATTCAATAAGTGGGCATAAATGTGGTAACTGACTTTTCAAACTACCATGACGAGTGATTAAAACTACCTTATTTTTTTAATCGCAAAACGTAAGGTTTAGACATTATGTATCTTTAATAATGATCTGAAGGTTAACGTCTTTTTATTCTTTCTAGGACGAATCATCGAGGTCAAAATGTGTAACAACCGCGACCGAACGCAGGGTGTCAACCTGTATTTTCCACCGAGTGGTTAACAATTGGGATGCCCTACCTGAACTGAAATTAGGTCAATCGGTGAAGAAACTGGACCTCCGTAGGAATAATTATGCAAACATGAACAAATGTCGCTTGACATTCTTTAATAATGAGATACCAATAAGACCTGATAAAATCACTTAGAATGGAATTTGAGGGTTCATTTTACGAATTAGTTATTCTTGATATGAGTGTTAAAATCTGATCATTAGCCAAGTTTGTAATGAAAAATACTATGACACAAACTAGACGATTCAGTGCTACTTGTAGGTAGTTTAGGAATATTTGTATACTAGCTAGCACTATAACGAAACAGCCAGTATGTTACAAAACTAACTTTTGAAACTACTTAACTGACTACGCAAGTTTCAGTGGGGACATTGTGTACTTTGAAGTGTGATACAACTAACGGAATAGTGGTTGATAATACAGCAACCACTGTCCGCGCTGCATTTATATGGCGATGTGATTGAGCGAAGGAAACTGGGTTTGAATCAGCAGCGTATACAAAGCCTTTCATGTTAATCAACATTGAACCAGATCACCGAGACCCAAGCAAGAAAATCTACGGAGGATCTCTGACACAGGAGCTACCAAGAAACGCATAAATGCAGCAAGACTTTATGAAAGCCAGTGAAACATGAAATTTACTTATTTACAGCAGAATAGATATTACAACTTAACCTTACAAGTTGAAGATGGATGGGGGATTAGATTTATGTACTAAAACTGGCATTGTATGGATATATCCAGATACTGTCAGTCTGCACTTTACCAGTCCTGTTAATATAAGGAAACGACGATCTCAAAATTTAGTTGAGTTAAAAACACGTAATTCGACGGATATTATTCCAATTAAATTTACTACTCATTGAGGCAAGATATAATTGACACGCATGGCAGTATTAAAATTAGCTAACAAACCTATTTCAAGTAAAAAAGGCGAAGTATCCATAATTAGGATATTGACAGAGGTATTATGGTATTTATTTAGTGAATTTAACAAGTTTAATTTTATCATTACATATTTAGACAGTACTACAGACAAGCAGTTAGATAATTTAAGCAAATTTTTTTTACCGAGTTTAGTGGTATTTGATTGACGAAGACAAACATGAAATGCACCTCTGGCTTCATTGTCATTATTGATTATTTTTGATGACGGAGCCTCATGGTCAAATTAGTTATTTACCCGTAATTATTGTGATCATTATTGATTCCTGGACGCGCGTAGGGATGGCCTCGGCCTCGTCCGCGAGGTTCTGGGATGCTGACTTTCCCCCAAGTGTCGTCTTGTCCTAGATTAAAAATTTAGACCTCAATTAAACCCGCAAAGAGCTGCACAAAATACGGAAAAAAGCGAAGCTACCCGACCTACCATAGTTTGTTCCGAAATCTTCAAAAACATGGGAATTGAACTCATTCTGCTCATACAGAGTTATCGGAGGGTAGGCAACGGTATTCACATCATTAGCAAACACCTCGGAAGCAACAGGAACTGGTGGTTGGATAGCAACACCGTTCTTAGCAACACCTCTGCCTATCCAAGGCTTACCTCGACCACGGAAGGGAAGCTGCACTGGAGGTGCAGGGAAGGGAGCTTGAAGTGGTGGTGGTGGCGGACCGCGCAGAGGGGGGCGGATATTTCTGACAGGAACATTCCTTCCGGCCACGGGCAAAGGCTGATTTTGCTGAACCCACTGTTGAGCTGTGGGTTCTGTCTGCTCCTATAACCGTACATAACTTTAGAAACATCAACTCACTGGTAGCATGATTTTCCTTACTTCCGCTAATGCATGGGCTAACCGATAACATGATTCCGAGGGTGGACCTAAACTGTCAACTTGAAGGTGCAGCTTTTGCTTCAGGTGCTGATATTTCGGATCACCATTGGAAAGGAGCTGCTTTTCCTTAGCGTCATCCCTTAGACTGCCAGCACCTAAGATCGCCATTTTTGTTTTGGTGGTTTCTTGCACTGCTCTCAATGTTTGACCTCCCGGACCAAGAAGTTTTCCAACGAAATTGATAGCAGGGTATTGTGCCTGAGGTATTTCTATTTTTGCCCTCACTTTTACAGGTTTGTTGCTGACCAAGTCAAATGAGTCCGCAATGCCGCCACGCAGACGGAAGAGTTCTGAAAAATCAGTCTTTGGAAGCAAATCATACCATTTTCTGCCAAAGAGTACAAAGCAGGGAACGCACTGCTATCCAAGTTTTGTAGTTCACGCACTAAAGCTTCAACCGTCGCCGACTGTTCTGGTCGGAGTTCGCCAATCTTCATTTCTGATGAAAAAACTTTACTATGGCCGACCTTCAAAGTGTTAAACAACGGGTACGATGTCCAATAATGTTGCTACACATAAGCATGATTCAATATTTGTCTCTGATATCATGTGCTGACATAAAATGCTTGATACATGAGTCAGCCTTATGGAAAATGAGTTTGCTGCGAAAAGGCTGACGAGGAACGGCCAATTAGATTATATTATATCTACGCTGATTGAAAGGGTCTTCAAATAAATGGTTTTGACACCTCGTTGTGTGGCAGGAGTTTTCGAAAGCTCCGAGGTCAGTGTTTCCCCTAATAAACAGAGCAATGACTAATATGGGAAAATGAGATGTGTCGACAACGTCAAAGACCGGGAGGGTCATTCAAACAGCGATGGAATTATGAAGATTCAACCAGGCTGTTTCTCGGACATTACTTGGATAAAAAAAGGTTAGCTTCAATAAACACGACGCTGTATTCCGGCCATGAAAAATTAAGTTGTTCACAATAAAAAGGAGTCACACTAATTGTGCCCTAAAAATAACTTATAGGATGGGAAAACATGAATCGAAGACCATCAAATCATCCTTAAAACCAAGAGGGCAAAGAATTAAACTGAATGCTATCTAGTGCTGTGTACTTACCATTGTTGTCATTGATGATGACCAGATTTATGATATTGTGCTGTCTATTTTAAAAGAATGCTCAGAACATTCGAACAAAGTACTTGAAAGCCAAAGTGAAATGGATAACATGTGATGCTCACATATCAATGAGCGACATGGACCGGAATGACGGAAGACTGGTAGATCCACGTATCTCCAACAACATGGTTATAAGAGGAGGCACTTTCTCCCAAAATCATCTTTACAAATTATCTTGGGTTAATTCGAATCACACTATAAAATTCCCTGTCAGTCACAGCTACACAGGTAAATTTGGGCTACCACACTATGGTTGTATAACAATTATTTTTCATTTTTTGCCATTTAAACCTGAAACGCTGACTCACTAAAGCTTTTCTATTAGAGAATTCGAACGTTTCTAAATTTATTTATTACAAGTGCATAACATTTGTATTCTAACTTATATTTTTTAGTCTTTTCTGTGCTATATGAGCGAAGCAGGCATGTGAGAAGATAATGATGCACAGGGTGTCGAGTAAGCAAGTCAATTGGATTTCAAAGGCAGTTCCAGACGTGCTGTAGCTCAGGTAATGTAGTGATAGCACTCGCGTTGCACAGTCTGTGTAATACCTGTGTAACAAGTGGAGTGATAGTGCACCGAAATTTAAAATACCCGCGACCAGCCAGAGGCACACACTAATACTAGGATATGCGATATTCCAGAAACTTTTCGCAAGAAATGCTGATTGCTGCTTCACTCTGTTTTATTTCAGTCATTTTATTGTTTGTTCACAGCTTTAATTCCTCGTTGTGCAAAATTTATATCAGTTATGCAAAGCCTATAACTTTCTCAACCACGGTCTTTATTTTATGCTTTTGATGTCGGAGTTAGATTTAGGAGCCTATGGAAATCAAAATTTCAGCGGTCGTTACAAGTTACTCATCAGATTTCTCAGATTGGCATAAAACGTTCACATTGTTAATCGAAACTCGCATCCAGGATCATAATTGTGACTGTTTAGAATACTGGTTTCGAAGCCAGCCCCGTCCTCAAAATGGTTCGTCTATCATTCAGTTACTTTAGTTATTGCAATAAGTATTCCGATTAAGAATACATCATTTCCCTGATTGCCTTCACATATAAATTGGATTTAACATATGTGGTGTGTTGGGAAAAAACTACTCCCAATACGTCTATTAATTTGTCGGCTCCTAGTTTTGTCGATCAAGTCAACTCAAGAAAACATTGTAGCTGCGTTTATCACAATAAGTGGTTTGTAAATGATGCTGTGTACTGTAAGTAACTGAGATTACAAAATATGCTTTCAAAACTTTTAAGTACTTAAGGAACAAATAACCAAACTGATAACGATCGTATTCAAAAGCTAAAACTTGATAATTTGTATTAAAAAAGTATTCCTCTAATAAGTGTAATGAAACTTATTTTTAAAAATTGTGATTGCACGAATACCATTATCTTCAGTATATGGTAATAAACCCCATTGATAATTTTCCTTTGTCATGCTTTTTTATTCTTTGGACGAACGACATTCCTCACAAGATGTGAAGTATTAACTTAAAGTGATCCTTGGGAGAGGTTTAATTGTAGTTGTTAGACAAGACGTCTCTTGACAAACCGAATGACTTGTGTATTTATTACGAAATCCCATCGATAAGATATTGTTTATTTTCCTTGTAAAGCCACTTATATTATCCAGGTCAAGCTTACACAGCTTTATTTCAAATATCTCCGGTAGACCATTTTGATACAGGCGACGGGGAAAAACGTAGCAGTATTTCGTTAGCGGTTACATGCTTGCTCGTAACGTCTGATACAAGTACCAACATAACTTAAACTTTTTCCCACTGCAACACAATTGCATGACAAACAGTAAGTCCATCCTTAATTCTTCGTATTCTATGCCGGTCGTTTTTGATACTTTTTGACAATATAATATTTTTGTCAAATTGAAACCTACTAAAGGAAGCATACTAAAAACGCTTCTCAGTGTCATTTTCACTGAATGATGCAAAGTGTCCTTCAACACAGGAGCAGTCGTCAAACACACACCTTATATCTGTTGTATCGGGTCCGATATTTCGTGAAGTAAAGCAATTTAGAAGAAGAGGGTCAGAAGTTAGAACCGGTCATTCGGAAAATTCCTTATATCCTCCCCCCTCCAAGATTATCACAAGTAGCCTCGATCTTCAACAGGCACGTTGATTCACAAAGGTTACAGATACTGCGAGCCGAAACTGGACATTACACCTTGTATCGAGAGAAGATGATCAGATCTTAAGTAGACTTGATTTGATGGCATATTTTTACTTGCGTAATTGACACACCTCGCTCAAACCTTATCCTATTGACCAGCAAACATGATGGTGGGGAGCTAACTTCAATCCGCCCATGTCTGTAGGGCAAAACATTTTGTTTAATTACGGCTCCTTATGGTTTAGTGAGATTTCACGAACTTAAGGTTTTAATGAAGATTTATCATGCAAAATACCTCGTTAAATTGTGTTACGAATGTTGAATTGTTTTCACTTCCTATTACAAGCAAACTAGACACTTCGCTAATATACGAAGCCTACTCAAGATCCTATTATAACTGAAAAAATAGTACTAAAAAATGAAAGGGGATCTAATAGCTTCAATAAAAAAGGAAGATAGCCAATTGTACATCGCAATAATGTTTCTATCACTACATTTTATTTTATAAACACACATAATCCCATGCTCTCAGCTCCTTTCTGAATCGCCTCCATTTGTCAGTTGTATGTACACTCATACCTTGTTGACACTTATTTTCTTTAACCTATTAAGTGCTCTTTCTTAACAAATACCTTAATAAAAGAAAATTAGACTGAGTAATCATACCTTAGACATTCCTTCATGAATATTGGCTACTTTGCTTCTCGTCCTTTCTTTTACTTGCTACCTCTTTCAGCCCCCTTGTGATGTGGTACGAAAGATTTTATCCTGCACCATCCTCAAATCCTTAGACATTCCGAAAGGACATAAGGTTGTGACATCTAGAAGCTCTCACCTTCAATGTACCTATCCTTGACCATCAGTTGCACATTTGCAACGCGACTTTCATGAAGCGCGCCAACTGTAGTACTTATTAAAACCATCTACATTCATATCTTTTAAATTATCGACCCAGCTATGTAATTCACTACAGTGGATATTGTATCATTTGTATCAATTTGATCTTGCCTGTAAACTGGCATGCCTCGTGTAACAAACTGTTATTTGAGAATAAATTATTATTATTGATAAGTGAGCGATATGTTAACTATTTAATATTAGTTATTTCTTTCATAACAATTTTGACAAATCACTTCATCATGTGGCATTTATTCGGTTCTTCTTATTCTGCAAGAGGGCCGGCGTACAATTTAAACTTTTTCTGTGACCAAAAGGCTCATGGAAAAGTGCTTTCATTTGTACTCGTACGTTGGCGTCACCAACATAATCGCTCTATATTCATCTATCGGCAAGCAAAAAATGTGAACTCTATTGTCCTTCTTAAGCATATCTCATTTCATTATTTTTATTTTCTAATCAGAACTCGTTGTCGAAAACGTTCCTTGTATTTTGGATACGCTAGATTTCTCAATAACGACGCTACGAATAGTCTCTTTGCGCACAACTCTGGTGGAAATTTTAGCATGTAAAGATCAATAAGAAAATATAGGAAGTGGTCCATGGAGGAAAGTAAGGTTAGTAGTAGAATAGTACTTGGCTTACTAACTAGTGTTTTATTAAGATAAAACTACACAGTTTGGAAATCTTCAAAGCTGGTCTGCTTTCAAAAAGTGAGTAGAATAGCATTCACATGGAGAACGATTTATTCAACATGAAACATTGAGATCCAGTAGTTCTGCTTGTAGCGAATTCAGCAAAAAACGAGTAAAATTTGAAATCAGAGGCAATGAAGTGAGAAAAAATCATTAGTTCGTACAAATGCCACATCCACCACACCCTAAATAAGATTCACAATTTACGTAAAAGTTTGTACTTCTCTTTACGTTCATCGTGTGTCGGTTTGACTGTGTATTCAGTAAAGATTCTGTATGATCTAGAATACATTATGCAGCAAGAGGTTGATTTCCAACTAGGGAGAAAGAACGAAAACTTTATTTTGATGGAAATTTGTCTGCAAATCGCATCTACCTGAAGTTTGTTGTACGAAGTGACTGCATTCTGAATATAAACTTCCTCCTCAAATAATCCTCTAGGAATGGACAAAATATATATTCTGTTCACCTTCTTATTGGATGTGTATTTGTTGATCCATTGTATCTATGCTTTTATTCTATCATAGTTTGTTTTTAATTAAAGTGGAAATTTCGGTGGTCGTGCTTTACTAAGCACGTCTTAAGTTACAACCAAATTGACTCATGCGTGGACTATGGAGCCTATCTGTA